TCCCAGGGGACCAGCCAGAGCCTTAGGTGAATAATTTAAGCATTTAATTTATAATAAAGTTTGCAATCAGCATTTCCTGTTCCAAAACATTCATTTTTATTTGGTTTTAAAGCTGCATAAACTGTTTTAAAAGCAATCTGCTCAATTGGGCGAGTTAATGATATTGAATTTGACCGGGCCAAACGTCACCGGGTAAGCATCCCGTCTATAATCACAGCCATCATCGCCGCTGTTTTGTGTAATGTAGATGCAATGCTAATCCGAGAATAAGAGTTGTCGTTCTCGGTTGGCTGACGGCATGCACCGGAGTCATCACCTCGCTAAGTCTCTCAGTGATGTGATTCCAAGATGACAGTGTAATAAGTGTTATGTGCACAAGGTAATTCAAAACAAATTTGGCTGCAAAAATGGATCGTCTAGGATAGTAAACTCCCACCTTGTCTCATCGTCTTTTAAGAGAATGTAATGATCCCTAAAATACCTTGTCAAGAAGCTCATGTGGCAGGGGTCAAGTCCTGTAAAATTTATCTGTTGCACCCCCCTCTTCCTCCAAGAATCCTAACTTGAGGGCTGAACATTTTCTTATGCATATTGATACCCCTGGAATAGGAACACAAAAGATGAGCAGGGAGCTTCTGGGAAGTCAAGAAGCCTTTCGGCATACAAATGTCTCTTAAGAACACCTCACTAGGCTGGGTTTTGCTTCTTTGATTTATAGACTGTTTCCTCCTAGGAAAATGTGTCTCTTCTGCTATAGAATCCCCACGAGCACTAGAGTCTTAGTAAAATCTTTATTATTGGCAAGTTAGGCATTACAAGTAAATTATCTCAATTTTATATTACCCTAAGAAGTATGACACTGTATTTATATTGTTGATGAGGAAACTGAAACTCAGAACAGTTAAATTGCCCAAAGCCCACAGCCAGGAATCCTACCCTGGCTTCATCCCACAATTACCGTCCCTGCACACTCCACCTCTGAGCTGTAAGAAAGGAGGAGGTTGACCAGGAGCAGTGGCTTACACCTGTAATCCCAGCACTTTGGGAGGCCAAGGCGGGTGGATCATGAGGTCAGGAGTTCAAGACCAGTCTGGCCAACACAGTGAAACTCTCTCTCTACTAAAAACAAAACAAAAAAAAAATAGCTGGCTGTGGTGGTATGCACCTGTAATCCCAGCTACTTGGGAAGCTGAGGCAGGAGAATAGTGTAAACCTGGGAGGCGGAGGTTGCAGTGAGCAGAGATCGCACCATTGCACTCTAGCCTGGGAGACAGCGCAAGACTCCATATCAAAAAAAAAAAAAAAAGGAAGTAACCCGGCTTGTGGAGAGTATTATTTGAATTGCATTTGATTGAAAACTGCGTAACATTGGGCTACTGAAATTGTTTTCTTGGGCACAGTTGGCAAAAATGCCTTTCTGTGGAACCCAGCTGTAGGCAGTGAGGGACATTCTTGTGTGGGATGAAAGGGTGGTTCTCAGTCACCACAGTGACCCAGGCCTCCCTTCGGGGTTGCTACTGCTCTTCCCTCTGTAACCTGGACAGTATGCATGTCATTGCATCAATGCCATTTTACAGTACCCAAAGCTGGACAGATTCAGAACAGCTTTCCTGCTTTTTGTAATTGAGTGCATCTCAACACAGAGGAGTTCTTTGCAGCCAAGAATCCTTTTAGCTTTAGACTGATCCAAGCAGGTCCTTCATGCATCATTTTTTTTGGAACCATTTAAACATCCACTCAATGGTTCTAGCATTTGGTTTATAAAATCTATCCAAGTAAAGCAATAGTTTCCATCACCTTGCTATAAAAATGAGCTAAGATGTACTCTTAATCGAAGAAGGATTTTCGTTAATTCTTTTGCCCAGGAGGAGAATGTCTCTAGGAATGAATACGAAAACATGGGTGCCTAATTTTACAATACATCTGTGTGATATTTATACCTGTTAGGATGTTTCAGACTGTAGGTAGTTAAGATCCAAGTCATCTGGCCTAAAGTATAAGGAATGTATTATTGAATATGACAAGAGGTTTGGAGATAAGAGGTTCTAAGCTTGGTTAATTCACTTACTCAGTGATATTATTAGGACCACAATTTTCTCATTTTTCTGCTCTGTCATCCTCACTGTGTTAACCTGGCCTCTGAGACCAGTTCTTCACATGGTCCCAAGATGCTGCCACAAGTCCAAGAAAACATGCAGATGACTTTCCTGGAGGCAGAAAAGGGCCCTCTCCTATCTCATGTCCTACTTTAAGGCTGAACAAAACCTTAGAGCTCCCTAGTAGCTCTCCTGTCCCAGCCAGCCAGCCAGAATTATACTGTATACCCATGCCTAAATCCATCAAGAGGCAAAAGGACCAAGACCACCATGGTAGGCGGGAGCCCATCAAAATCCACACCTCAAATCTCCCCCAGAGGGAAAGATACAGGATCTGGTAGAAAGGAGACAAAGAGTTCTTTTAGCAGAGAGGAAGCACTGGGGTGACAATGGGTGCGTGCTGCCCAGGCAGCTGACATTGTCTGCTCTGGTGTTTGTAAGACTTAATTATGTGTCCCTAAAAAATGTAGACCCATAGGTTCCTTTCTGGACCTAACTAGAAGATTCCTGGATTCCAATTCACCATCCTCTCCTCACTCAGCTTAGTATTCGTGTTAACAAGAACAGGAAGTTAAAAAGAAAAAGGATACCATAGTAAGAAAATCCCATTTTTATTCCCTTTTGGCAAAAGGCCTGGTATTTATATATAAATAGAGGAAGAACAAATTTGACACATCTTGTAGCACCTGCTCAAAAATTCGTTGTGGGTTTAACTAACATTGGTGCAAGCCATCCCCAAGCAATAAATACCAAGGGCAGAAGACCAATGTGACTGATTGGCATTGACCACACCCACATCTCCAAAGGGTGTGATACATTGCATTAATTTATTCTCAGGAACAGATTTACTGTAGCATTGTAAATTCCTGCATTATTTGACTCTTGATGCCACACATTTAATGAAAGATATACCTCAAACTGTTCGGCCCCAGCATGAATTCCAAAGTACCTACCCCAAGTGGCTTTTCATCCTCATCTACACCCCAGTCCCTCCCATCCCAAGCCCTCAGCATTCTGGGGTCTAAGCAGGGAAGCGCTCACCAAGGGCAGTTGGTGAAGAAAGGTAGAAAGAATTCTTTCTTGTCCTTTTATTCTTTTCTCAAAGGGAGAAACACGGCAACAGTTGGAGTATTAAACCCTGCTTTCCGAGTCCTCCAGGATGGGGAATTTAAAAGTTTGGCGGTTCAGACAGTTCCTTATTTACTAGCGCATTCGAGTCACTTTGTGACTCAGAGTTCTTGGTCTGCCGAACTCCCTCATCATGTAAATAAATTACTTAAGTGGATTGAATCCAAATCATTAATAACCTCCACTGACATGATTCATTTGGGCTTCATTACAAGGAAAGAATTCAACATCTATTCCTCAACCCAACAGTTGTTTACAACGCACTTCAACCTAAGAGTTGTTGTCCCTACAGGGCCAGAGTGAAAAGGTTTAGGGGGGAAAAAAGAGAAAAACAGCTTTAAATCAATACTTATGTTCTGCCTGGACAGCGAGAAACTGAAGTGCTCTGAGGACAGACCTAATTGTCAGCCTACTTTGAAGTCCAAGATACTAAGGGAGGAAAATGTATATATGTCAGATGGGAAAAGGCTGTGGTTTGGTGTTCATTTTGACACTTAAAAATATGGGCTCAAAACATGCACACTGCACAAATAGAATATTAATCTAAGAGATTTAAACTCAGGAATTTCTATGTGTAGTGACTTGAATGGGTCATTGTTCTCCAGAGAAGCTGAGCAACTTCTGCAGCCAAGTGTCCTGTGTAATATGATTTTTATACCATCATTTTACATTTGCTTTTAAAAGCCAACCAACCACTTGGGAAATACTGTAATATTAAAGTATTGTGGAGCCTGATACATTTTATGCAGTCCAGACATAAGATGTTACCAGACTTTCTGCATATAACTGCCTGAACATAGTTCCTTTGTTCTATGGGGAAGGGAAAATAGAGGATAAAGTAAATCATTAGAAATAAGACTCTGATTTCTATTTCATTTTAAATAAGCTGGTCTAAAGATAGCTGGGTTGAGTGAGTTTTGATTGTACCATTGGGGAGAATCCTGGACACAGTAGCCAACGTTCTGACCCACCGTGAACTAGTAGGGTCCTCTCATGAGATTTATTTGATGCTGTAAAGAGGGAGATGATCTTACTTTCAGTCCTGCCAACTTTACAGGACTGTATGAGAGAACTGTTGAGAGGTATCTTCATTTAAGCCATGCAGCAGACAGCAGTCACTCAGTAAGTGCAGGCTTTGAGGATGCAGCAATAGCAAAGCACTGTACACAGTGGGAAACAAAACAGCAATTAAGCCAGCAGTCACTTCCCCAAACGTTAGCCATTTGAGTTCCTTCTCCGTAATACTTGCCGTATACCCCTATGGCCTGAACTATCATTTACTTAATATTTTCAATGGACTTTTTAAAGAAGAGCAAAAGGATTAATTTTAAAAGGAAACTTCATGTTACTTCTGTGAAGGGAAGACTGGTATCATCTGACACAAACTGGAAAAATACACACTATTAAAACATAACAATGTAATGAATTTCTAGTTAGCTATTATTGCCTGATAAAGGCTCGGAGCCTGAGGCTGGCCTTTTCTTTCACAGGCAAGATTAACACGTGATGAAATTGTGCTAAAGACATTCCAGGGGGATGCCAAGCCTTCCTGCTGTGAGATTTATTATTTCATGCCAGATCTGAATACCTCCAAACTCACTCTCTTTCCACCAGGCATTCTTCGGGAAACCTAAACATAGAGAACTAACGTTCTCTGACACCACCACATGCTGCTTTCTTTTAGCTGCTTACACATGAAAGCAGCCAATCCATGTATCCATTCTTCCATTTTCTGCTTCACTCTAACCTTGTCCCACCCTAAATGTTTTTTCACAGGTCAACGGCAAAGACTTATCCAGAGCAACTCATGACCAGGCTGTGGAAGCTTTCAAGACAGCCAAGGAGCCCATAGTGGTACAGGTGTTGAGAAGAACGCCGAGGACCAAAATGTTCACACCTCCGTCAGAGTCACAGCTGGTAGACACAGGAACCCAAACCGACATCACCTTTGAACACATCATGGCCCTCACTAAGATGTCCTCTCCCAGCCCGCCCGTGCTGGATCCCTATCTCTTGCCAGAGGAGTAAGTAACATAATCTTGAACCCCTAATGCATTAAGTAAAGAAGTATTTTGAAGTTGGTTATTTTCCCTTCCATGTGATGAAAAAAATTAATGCACCCTATAATTTTCCTCCACGTTGCCCGTGTTTAACTTTATTGTTTATAGAGGCAATAAATCGAATCCTGCTCAAAACCACTCTGACATATTAATTACTTTATTATAAGCCTGGAGCAGACTTATTCAAATTATATCCTAAGAACAAAATTACTTACAAATGTTGTAAAAGTTTTTTCAGAATAAAATTTAATCACCCCAAATGGTAATTTGAAGATCCTGTAGTTACTACTAGAGGGAATGCTGATGGTTCTTTTAAATAGACAACAGAGTAAGCTGTGTGTATCAAGAGAGCCCTGGAGGTGGTGCCTTCTGCTTTCTTGGGTCTCATTTCAAGGCTGGATCCATGTAATAAGCCCGCACATGCCTCATCTAAGTACTGCATCAACCAATTAAGTAACAGCTGCAACTCGGCACGCCACATGGATTTCTTTACACGCACCTCTTCTCTCACCTTATTTCTGCCAGCGACAAAAAGTCGTTCAGAGCCTTCAAGTCAGACAAACTGGATGCTCACACTGATTTCTAGCTGTGGAACTTGGGTAACCTACTTTGTTTGGTGGGGTTGTATTTTTCCTTTTTTAAAATGGAGATAACACCTTCAGTCTCTTATGATGGTTGAAGGATTGAATGAAACAGTATGTGGGAAGTTCTCACCGGCATATGGTAAGCACTCAGTAAATGGGAGCAGTGATCACTGTTAATTTAGTGGCTGATGTAAAATATTCAGGACAAAATGAAGAGCAAGACACTTTCTGTGATAGACTGCTGGCCTCCAAGGCGTCCAGTCTGATAGAACGTTTAACATAGCTTTTTGTGTGTGACTTTGCACATCTGAGGACACAGCCTCTCCAGCTGATGTTAGGGGCGCCCCTGTGTTTTCCCACATCAGCTCCATCTCAGATCAGATCACCGACTTGATCATTATTTACTTCAAAGGGCATTTTCACCTCTTACAAGAAAATCCACTGGGTAATACCTGTTAGATTCCTATCAGTAACTTAGTAGCTAGAGTGAGCACATGGCTCCTGTGGTTTTTGTCAAGTTCTGGATGAAGGCTTGCCTTTCATTCCATGGTTTTAGTGGCTAGTTATCATTGGAACCCAGGGATAATTCCCTAAACAAACATGACAAAGTAGGTTTTGTGGCAGCTGGTAGTGTAAAGACAGAGGACAGGGCATCCATCTCACATTCACTCACAGTGTGCATATGTGCAGAGAACTATTATCTCCTTTATTGTCATTACTGTCCCTTTATACAGACGAGGAACTGCAAACTCTCCAGGTTCCACCGAGCTGATGGAAAGGCTGGTCAGGTGGACCCTGACTCCCAGCTCTGAACTACAATACCGTATAGTGGCCCATTCGATCCTCTAGAACAAATGGCTGATTGACTGAGTATGATTATCCAAACCATTTATCTGACATTATAGACCAAACTGCCTCACATTATTGATGAGGCCTTTAAAGCTACTTCTGATTCTCAAATGTTGACCTGTCAGAGTGATGGGCCTTTTAGAAGCCAAACCTGTAATTTCCTCTTAAGTCTAGTTAACATGACATGACTTATCCCCTGGGGGTGACTTGAGAAATGTCAGAAGAGTACAGAGGTCAGGCCTCTTCAGGTTCTGGCTGCAAGGTCAGACAACAGCAAGAGCGTGCGTTGGGACTGAATAGGGAATGTTAAGTTGATGCTTGAAAGCCCAGACCTTCCAACGGTATCCTCAGTACTAAAAGCCCTTTAAGTGCACACAGTATATTTGCCTGATGAGTCCAGAAAATTGAAAGCCAGCTCCTGTTTGAATGGCCACTCATGTCAGATCTGTTGTTTCAAAACTAAGTGCCTGGGAGGGAAGACCCAGAGCCCATTGATTGCTGTGCTGACCTTTGAGAATGTGAAGGTTTGGGTCCCCCGCCAACAATCAGAGGCTGAAGCTTTGCATCTGGCACTGTGGACCATTAATCTCCTTTCAAAGCTGCTGATGAAGCATATTATGATTCCCACTGTCTTTGCTCCTTGAGGTTCCATTAATGATGTTTCCAAAGATGTCGTGAGTTCTGTGAATTATGTTTTGTGTATGTTGTCCTAGGGAAACACAAGCTTCCAGTCTCCTATCAGAATGAGTGTGTGTGTGTACACATTATATGTAAACATATACACACATATGCACTTATGCCTACATGTTTGCATGTACATTTCAATCACACAAATGCATGCTGCATTGTGATATCAAACATGTTTATTATTGTGGGTAACATTCAAAAAGACATTGCCCTAAGTAACAGCAGAACAGTTTTAGTCTCAGCCTTTTGAATCTCAGAGGCCAGCACATATCTTAGACTGTTGCCTGAGCTCAAGCCTAGTTCTCTACAAGGACAAAATCTAACAATGAAGCAATAAGCACTAAAATGTGATCCTGTCCCCTGCGTAAAGATGGAGTCAGAAATTAGTCACACTGCATCACGTAACTGGCAGGCTCCAGGATGGGCTCTGCAAACAGCAAAGCGCAGCAGGCTGGCACCTTGCATCTCAAGTCCTTCTGGAGGAAATGGACTTAAAGGCAAATGGTAAAATTAGGATGATCGAGGTCCTGACTGTGTGAGAGCCCCATCCAGAGGAAAGCGAGCCATGAAAGGGCCCACACCCCGGGAATTGCTACTGTGCTACTGGCCTGACAATGAGGGTAAGGGAAACAGATACTGACACTGGAAGCAGGGCTGTAAAGATGTTGCATCTCTTTTCAGGCATCCCTCAGCCCATGAATACTACGATCCAAATGACTACATTGGAGACATCCATCAGGAGATGGACAGGGAGGAGCTGGAGCTGGAGGTAGGAAGAACGTCCTTGTCTCATTTTAGGGGTCATTATTAAGAACACAGAATGCCTAATAAGTTCTCTATAAGCATAAATTAGTTTACGGATGCCGATGGAAAATAACAAAAGCAGAACCACTTTTACTCATGCCCTTTGAAAGGCCCAACTAAGGTTTTCTTCCCTCCTTGGAAACAGAGCTTAATAATCAAGTCCCAAAAGCAGAAATGTAAGTTTTGTTTTTATTTGAATCACTTAAAAGATAGGACAGTAAATCCTGTTGTCAACCTTTGAATCCACATAATCCATACATTCTTGTATTCTTGTAAGTAACATAAGTCTCCTCACCTTCCTCCCCTTTATGTCATCAACACTCTTTACTGAAAGGCAGATGGCTCAGGGTAGGTAGATAAATTATTTAAGTGAATGCTAGTCCCCCTCCCCCCGCCAAAAAAATGATCTGTCTACTGCTTCATTTGCTTCAAGTTTGCTAACACTGATATAGAAGAAATTAAACAAATCCCTAACTCTTCTTAAGTGTTATTTAAGGCCAGGCAGGAGAAAAAATTCAAGATGCTACATAGTGTCAAGTCTCTGTTAAGGTTTAAAATATTTAGAGGACACCAGGTTACCAACAGAGTTCCACTTCCTATTTTCCTTTTAATAAGGATGATAGAAAATACAGAAAACACTAACTTGCACAATATATTTACATTTTGGGGAAAACACTTTTATATTTCAATGGGTTTTCAAAAATATATAAGAGCATATTTGAAAGCTGATTTTATGGAATAAGGTAAAAAAGACACCTGTTTTTGACAGGTAAGCCCTTGGCCACCATCAAAAGGTCACCCAGGAAAAATCGAACATTTTATCCAATTTCATGGCCAACTGTTGTGTAATCTGTGCTATCCTGCCAATACTTCTGAAGTTGAATTGTTTAGTGGCAGTAGATTTGGAGCAAGGACAGAAGCAGTCGAATAGTAGACAACAACCGTGTTCCTCAACTGAAAATTACCAAGAGTTCTCATTCCAAAACAGAAGTTAAAAATCAGTAAACGTGTGCAAATGACGACTTAACTAACAGTACACTATAGCCAGATACACTCAAATCAAAGGACTTGTAGCCAGTGGCATGACTAACTCGATGCAAGTTTTAAAAAGTTTAAATTTTCCCTAAATGCACCTGGTTTAAACAGGAACAGCCACTGTGCTAACTATAAAAACTTGACTGTTTCTGCTTGCTGTCAGCCACTTACCAAAGTACTTGCCATTTAATGATTGCTCCAGGAGATGTAGCCTTGTCATTTTCAAAAATCAGGATTCTGCCTCTCATTTAGTGTCTTATCACCCCAACTTCAGGGCTGTTTGGTGAAGCAGCCATGACTCCTTCAGGACACTTGTTCCTTAATTTGTTAATGTATGTTCCTTCCAAAGCGGGTTCATGATCAAATACATTTGGGAAATGCTAAATTAAAGAAAACTAAACAGATTTCTTGGAGGACTTTTGAGAATCTTGACTATCTAATTCGCATTGGTAAATCCCCTGGAGGAGTGGGCAGACTTTCCCCCACCTCTCTGGCCAAGTACCTGTTTCTATTTCCTAGTCTACAGTTCTCTGGAACACTGTTGGAGAAACACTGCTCTCCAAACAGAAGGGCTATTTAATAATCTTTATGGGATGACACTGCTTTTTGATGATGTAATTGTGGCTAAGTAGAGTTCCTTTAAAAAGCTGTCAAGTGTCTCAGAAGCTAGAGTTATGAGGTAGTAGAGACTTTGCAGTCTTTCGTATTTAGTTAAACTGGACTTTATAACAGAGGATTCTTCAGCTCTTTTTTTAGTTTCTAATACCTTTGAGAATCTGACAGAACTTACAGTCCCTCTCTGGAGAAATGCTCCTGTCTATGAGAGCTTGCACATGGTTTCAGCAGAGTCACTGAGCCCTCACAGTATCTGCCCAATTTGGGCCATTCTGCCTTACAGTTTTTTTGTTGTATCTGAGTATCACCAGAACTCTGATGTGCTTTCTATTTCTCTTTAACTCGACTCAACTTATTTAAACTACAGTAATTTTATTTTAAAGGAAACGCTATACGACTGCCTCAAGCAGAAAGTCAGCATCCATTGCCTTAAATAGAAAATCCCATACAATTAAATACAGTGGACACAAGCCAGTGTTATTAAATCCTGGTGCTCAATAAGGGTGCCTGCTGAGGGTTGGGAGCCTGGGGCCACTACATCCTGCCTTTTCTCTAAGGAGATTAGCTAGTATTAAAGAAGTGTTAGGACTAGCCCAAACTGAGTCTTTCTCCCCCAAGTATGAAGCATCTGAGAGCATCCTGCCTTTGGCAGGAGGGAGCCATTCAGAAACTATTCCCTAGAACCCTATTGTTCAAAGTGTGGTAGCCCAGCAGCCCGGCTGGTCAAAGTAGAGTTCTCACCTGGGAGATGTGGGAACTGCAGAACCTTGGCACCCCAGACCTTCAGAATCAGAATCTGCACTTTAACAAGGTCCCTAGGTACTCTGGTGCCCATTAAAGCCAGAGGACTCCTGACCTACAGGCCATAGGCCAAGGTAAAGAAGTCCAAGCTATCATTTCCTCTTGTTTTCATGAGTCACACCAGCGAGGCTTTGGTGGTGCCTTTCATTCACTGCAGTGTAGAGATGTGCCCCAAATCACGAATATGGTCCACACTGTCCATGTAGAGTCAAGTTATCAGGGCCTGGGAGTGACTGAACCCCTCGTAGACATCTGACACTGTTCCTAAGACTGCTTCTCTCTTTTCCTGAATAAAAGCAGAGACAAAGAACCCAGGTATTTAGAAAGCTAGTCTAGTATTAACATTTTAAGCTAGATCTTGGATGCATCAGACTTTATATTCATGCTTATTTTCAATTCTGTTCATTTTACTGAATATCTCTTATATTAAATATAATGTTTGGTCCTAGAAATGCAAAATCAGGAAGTCACCACTCTGCCTGCCCTTAAGGAGCTCACAAGCCATTAGGACCGTTAGACATTAGCTTTTCATTTCTTCTTAAACAACCAGAATAGAGGCATTCTCCATCTCTAGCCCCTTTCAGTGGTTACCATGGAGTACTGTGAGTCGGACATCTTGCTTTAATGTTTATTTGGTCTTTTGTCCACAGCAACTTAGATGTCACCATGTCATTTCTGTTACCTAAGCACCTTCTCTTAAAATGAACCTGGCAGTTTTGGACAGATGTCATTCTCAGTTCCGTGGTTGTGATGGCTGAGGCCATCTAGGCTAGGAACATATCAGCTGCGGCCTACTGCAGCCACTTACCAGAAAGGTCTCCCCCTAGAGAATAGTAGCTATGCCTCCAGCATTGCTCTCTTTCAGAGGTGTCTGTCCTCTGGTCAGTCAGTTGGAGAAGGTTAACTAATAAACCCCACATGCTGAGAAGCGAGTTTTCTAAAGTTGACCCAGTTTTCATGTGCCTGTCATTCCTGCTTCTACATGAGATTTCTTAGAACAGTTACAGTCTGTCTTCTAGATTCCATTCTGTTGTGTTCTAACTGCTGGGTTCAATTTTAGAAAAAGCAGGCTGTTTTAAGTAAAGGGGCCAATCTCAACAGACCACTCATCTAAATTGAATTGGACTAAAGTCGGCACCTTCCAAAGAACAACTCATTCCATGGATATTATATATGAGGAAAATATGTATAATAATATGTATGAGTATGTTGGGATAGTGAAACAAATGCACAGAGAAAAACAGATGTTCTGGCCAGATGCAGTGGTTCACGCCTGTAATCCCAGCACTTTGGGAGGCTGAGGCAGGCAGAACACAAGGTCAGGAGTTCGAGACCAGCCTGACCAAATGGCAAAATCTCATATCTACTAAGAATGCACAAATTAGCTAGGTGTGGTGGCACACGCCTATAATCCCAGCTACTTGGGAGATTGAGGCAGGAGAATTGCTTGACCCCGAGAGGCAAAGGTTGCAGTGAGCCAAGATCATGCCACTGTATTCCAGCCTGGCTGACAGAATAAGACTCCATCTCAAAAAAAAAAAAGAAAGAAAAAGAAAAAAGGAAAAACAGATGTTCTCTCTTTTAAAGTACACAAAATGATCATATTTAGGTAAGTGTCAAATCCCTGTTATTATGAGACTGCTTAAAGTTAAAGGGATTACACCCAAGTGTACCCCAGGGTTGAGCAGACAAATAATTACCCATAAATTTTCAGGCACTGAACACCTGCTCTAGATCTTCCTGTAGGCAAATGAGAAAGAAAATACATGCCCAAAGAAGGCTTTTTCTTTCATCTATTGTTTTAATTTCCCAGGCGATTCACCAGTAGCATCCTATGTAGGCTGTGAAACTGCTGCTCCATGAGACCTGGGCTCTTTTCTAACTCATTTACTATATATTTCTTTTGCCTAGACCATGTCTGGCATATAGTAGGTACCTAGGAAATCCTTGTTACCCTGTCTCAAACATAAGGTCCTTGAGAGAAAATGCAGTCTTTTTTTTTTTTTGCGGTATACTTCTATATTACAAAGTTCAAATTTTTTTATTTTTTATTTTTTGAAAGAAAGAGAAAGGGAGAGAGAGAACAGGAGTCTTGCTCTATTGCCCAGGCTGGAATGCAATCTAAAAATAGGTATTAAAAACCTCTTTTATGCCGATAATTGTGCTTAACAGTGGAGACAGGAAGGAATAAAGGAAGAAAATAACAAACAGCCAACCACTATTTCATTTAAGTCTGTGAAATGCTATGCAAATGCTGAAGAGTGATTTACTTCCAATTATGTGGTCACTTTCAAAATAGGTGTAATGTAATACTGAGAAAAATACATGTTCTGTGGACCTGGGGTGAAGAATTCTATAAATACTCACTGAGTTTACTTGTTCCAGGTCTGAGTTCAAATCATAGATGTCCCTATTAATTTTCTATCTCGTTGATCCGTCGAATATTAACAATGTGGTGTCAAAGTCTCCAGCTATTATTGTGTGGGAGTCCAAGTCTCTTTATAAGTCATTAAG